ACCTCCACATGGACTGGAATATGTTTGCTCTGCAAAGACCATATGCTAGATCACGGTTAAAGTAACGTTTGGTTGTTTTCAGGGGGAAACGCTGGCATCAATTACCGGGAGTGGTATAAGCCCTTAGTGTGGTTTTGGATTCTTGTTGGCCTTGCCTACTTTGCGGCTGTCCTCAGTATGATCGGAGATTGGCTACGGGTTCTATCCAAAAAGACAAAAGAAGAGGTAGGATCCCTTCCAGATGCTATGAATGTTCTGAGATCAGATGAGCTCATTGTCAAGAATTGCCTGTCTCTATCCTGTGGGCTAGGGTGTTTCTTGCTAAATGGAGGACTCATCAAGGCTTCCTTGTTTTGAATCATTCCCTAAAAGCCAAGTTAAATGGAATAGCAGTTATTTCTGAATCCTCTTTTTGCAGGGGAGGAAATATGATGACTCAATTACCAGCCCACGAATCCTGGAAAGCCTAGTAAACATGAACTTATTTCAAAAAAATGAAAAGAAATGGAAATAGTCAGCAGAGGTAGACTATGGCTGAGGGAGATGTGCAGTAGCCCCTTATCAGCAAATACGTGAAGAGGCTGAGAGAATACATAAAAAACCCAGCAATGTCAGGCCTGTCCTTCAGGTCTCAGGGCCTGGATGGCAATGCAGTTGAACACCATGAATTTTTCTCCATTCGGTATGGGACTGAAATCATCAGACAGTGACCAGCCATGGGGAAGCCATGGGGATATAAGTCTCTTTTACCTATATCCCCTCCTGGTTTTTTGTATGCTCCCTAGAACAGGGCCATGGAGTGTTCCCTCCCTCATAGAAATTTATGTGAAAATTTACACAAAGGCAAGAGGAGAAAGACATAAAAAGGCAAGATAGACCTTTTGATTACAAAAAATACTCATGCAGTTCTTCCAAGAAGAAAGGAAAAGAAATAAGAAGGAAGGAGGGCAAAGAAAGGAGAGGGAAAGAGCTAAAGGAAAGGAGGTAAGAAAAAAAAGAAATGCCACGAGGGATAGCCTCTTTATGGGCAACTGTTTACGTCCCAGAATACTATCTTTCCATGTAGAAGACCCCTGGGTGAGAGATGCTTAATGGAGAACTTTCCTATATCATTACTGGGCCCACGTGCTAATTTTCCAGGCTTACGGAAACACTGTCAATGCAATGTCCAGTAGGATTCCCCAGATAGCTAATTGACCTGCAGAAAATGAGCTATTAAAAAAACAGGACCAACATACTGACTTTCCTAAATGCAAAGATATGAGTTACTTTCCTGTTCAGAGAAGCACGGGGCTTGTGCTGTTTGCCCTGCTATGAAGAGCCAAGAAATTTGGTGCTAATCCTCATGCAAAGCTCTACTCTATAAGGGAACATGTTCTGTGGGCTTTGCCCGATCATGCCGTGCCCCCTTCCTGTACTCTGGCCAGGTGAATTTTGTTACCAGGTGCCCCGAGGGTCTTCTTAAGCCAGGACAAGCCTGATAGCACATGGCAGCAGCATGGTCCAGATAGAGGGTGACCAGCTATCTCATTTGCCTGGGACTGAGGGAGTTCCCAGGACACAGGACTTTCAGTTTTAAAACAGGGACAGTCCCGGGCAAACTGGGACAGGTTGGTCACCCTATCCAGATAGAAGAATTAGAGGGACATGGAAGGGCAGAGGACCTGCTGAGCACCTGCTCTGAGCCCAGGACTGAGCTAGGTACATTTCCCTACCTCATGAAACACTAAAAGCTCCAAGCTAGGTATGATGACCCCAGTTTATGTCAGAGGAAAGAGGCCGCGCAATTCAGAGGTGGAAACATAACTAGAACCCAGGCCTGTCCAACTCCAAATATAGGTCTCTCCCCTCAGAATGCTGCATACTTCTCACTTAGTCCCTGTCTCCAGATCTCAGGCCTCCTTGGGGTGGTCTGACATGTGTGCCTCTCTGAGCTACATTAGTCGCTAGCCAGTTTGAGGTGTGTATTTAGGTGGCAGGAAGAACTAAGCTAGGAGTAGCGTTTCACCTCCTCCCTGGGCGAACCTCCATCTCCTGGCTTCCCCCGAGCCTGGCTTGCCATCGGGGCACCGAGTGACAGTGGGTGCTGGGAGGCGCGAGACAGAGAGGACTTTCTCAGTATGCTGTTATTCTTCCGTCTCTTGGCCAGGTCGGTGAAATCAAGGCCCATGCGGCTGAGTGGAAGGCCAATGTGACAGCTGAGTTCCGGGAGACACGACGGCGACTCAGCGTCGAGATCCACGACAAGCTGCAACGGGCGGCCACCATCCGCAGCATGGAGCGTCGGCGCCTGGGCCTGGACCAGAGGGCCCACTCTCTGGACATGCTGTCCCCCGAGAAACGCTCTGTCTTTGCCGCCTTGGACACGGGTGGCTTCAAGGCCTCTTCCCAGGAGAGCATCAACAACCGGCCCAACAACCTGCGCCTTAAGGGGTCGGAGCAGCTGAACAAACATGGGCAGGGGGCCTCCGAGGACAACATCATCAACAAGTTCGGGTCCTCCTCCAAACTCACCAAGAGGAAAAACAAGGACCTCAAAAAGACCTTACCCGAGGATGTCCAGAAAATCTACAAGACCTTCCGGAACTACTCCCTGGACGAAGAGAAGAAAGACGAGGTGATGGAAAAGATGTGTAACTCGGACAACTCCAGCACCACCATGCTGACTGACTGTATCCAGCAGCAGTCTGAGATGGAGAACGGGACGGTACCCACGGACACCAAAGACAGGGAACTGGAGAACAACTCATTACTTGAAGACAGAAACTAACCCTGGAGGCCGCTGGACTTGGACTAAGCATTGTTAGTGTTTGTTTGTTTTTTTGTTTTGTTTTGTTTTTTTAATATTCACACTGAGACACGTGCCTTAAACCGACTTCTTGTTAGTCCAAAATTACATAACATTGAAGAATATATTTCACTGTGCCATAAAATGACTGAAAGCTTGCTCTGCCAAAAGGAATCAAAGAACTTCATTTCTGAAAGTGACAGCAGGACACGCAGGGAGCATTTGCACACCGAGGAGGTGACCACCGTACACGGTGAGGGAATTTTCGTGGCGACGCTATGCGGCTGTACAGGGCCGCCCCTGGCCTGGCACTTCTAAAAGGCAGCTACTCCTTTGACCAGCCTTCTGAAGGGAAGAGGTGTCTTTTAAGTGTCTCATGTCCTGAACCTACCGTTAGTGATACATGCACACAGAGAAGGGGACCTGCAGGGGGTGAACTGGTAGCTGCAGTTAGGATTAGATGTGACATTGTGGCCTGTGCCCTGAGCTTGAATTTTGATACAAACCATTCCGAGCATACCTAGTCTTTCTAAACTCCAAATGAATGTCCATGGGACCTGAGAGAACCTGGAATTTGTTGGAAGCGGATCAGAGCACATGTATTAAAAGGTGCAATTGCTTTCCTCATTACAAAAGAAAAACAAAAAAAATAAATAGTCACAAAAACATCACACTGTGGATATCACCTAAACCAATGACAGAAGCCTACTGAATCTTTTCTTTCTCCACGGGGTAGGTAGTCCAAATGAACTCGTAAGCATTGATGAAAATTCAACCTCAACCACTGCATGGTTACAGGCAAATCATGCGTTTTCCTCAAGGGGTCCAATGGTGAAGATGAACTGGTTTTGAAATGTCCATATTCACTTTTATAGTGGAACTTTGGTTATAACCTGCTTTGATTAAGAGGGGGAAAAATACCAAAACTATTGCCTTGCATGATGCCAGCAGCCCGCTGTTCTGTCTAGCTGATCCTATGTTTTTATAAAAGTAGACATCCTTCATTTCTGAGACATACCGAGGAGGACCACGGCATCATTCCATCTCAGGGCTTTCTGTCCCTTTGGGTGTCTTAGGGTAGACATAGATATGAGATCCAGTCTTGCTATCTCCAAACAAAAGGAAACGTAATCCCTTGAACCAACCCTTGTATCATAAGATTGAAATGTTTTAATTGCTTGCAGCTTAAGTGCCATTAATGCCATTTTTTTTTAAAAAAAGATACTTAAAAGAAGTACTTAAAATATTTAATTTTACTTTTACGTTTGAGCGTTCCTTTCTTCTGAAAGCATCACTTTTTTCCTTGCCTGTTTCGTTATCTCACATCTGTTATGAAAATTGGGACACCATTGTGAATGATTGTTTCAAGTCAAACAATAACCCACATGCGATAATTATAATTATTCCACGGGGTTAAAATGTTCAGTGAAGGAAAGTGGGGGAACGGCTAGTCAAGGTTTTTGAGGGGATGATTTTGAATGTATTTTTATCAAAAAAGGAAGAATAAGGGAGCTGTAGATACCAGGCCATCATCCTGTGTGTGCCTCAGGCTTCATCATGACTGGCTGAACGTTGTACTGGCTCAAACGTGGCTATTTGAGCCACACACTTTAGCGTTTGGATCTCAAAACACCAGGAAGTTGCTGGTTATGGACTGTCTGTCTCAGTGCCACCTTTTGGGAATTTCAGATAACTAATCCACAGAATGGATTTATCAAAAGATCACAGGACGAGTGGGGACTTCCATAAATCATCAAATGCTTTCTGACTTTTAGAGAAAACTATGCTCACCACATCCTTGACCCCTGGTACCATGGAAGACCTCTCCCTGCCCATTCCCAAAAATGCACAGCTCTTCCCTGCCTAGAGCACACACAGTCCTCTCACCCCTGCTGCTAAACCTTTAGGCTCTGGTTGAAGTTCTGGCATTGCTTTTGGGAAGGAGCCACATAAGTTATTTGGCTTTGGTGAGGCCCTTCCTGGTACAGGGTAGGCTTAGGTTAACTCCTCCATTGGGCTGGAGTAGGGGTCTCACTGATGGCATCCCGTGTCCATGCAATGAAAATGGATTGCTGGGAAATGTTTATGCAGGTGTGGACTTTGGTTCTTTCTATGTGAATGGGTCCAGCCTGACAAAATGTGTTTGAAGGAATTGGTAGATAACCGAGACTTTCCGTCTTATTATTCTAACAAGTTAAAGGCTTCCTGATTAAACTGCCCATGGATTTTGCTCACTTAGGTTTCCACCCTATATTACCTGGGTACCTTCTTTAGAGTAGCGTGTTAAAATTCTCAGCCGTACAGCCAAATCTGGCAAAGGGGCTTCCTCCTGGAAGAATAAGGATAGCTCTCATTTATCGGGTGCCTTCTGTGGGCCAGGCACTGTAGTAGGCACTTTATGTATGTTAGCTCACTGAAACCTCAAAGCAACACTATGTGGAAAGTATTTGCAAGCCCATTATACAGATGAGGACACGAAGGCTCAGGGAAGCTAAATGACTTACCCAACGGCACACAGCAAGAAAGTGGTAGAGTGGGTTCATACCTGTCTGACCAAAGTCTGCTTTCAACTTTGCTACAGTGTCCATATCATGCACCCTGTGAGTATGTGTGTGTGCGTGTGTGCATGTGCACCCATGTGTGGGTGTATGTTTCTAGTTTCATGGACACAGCAAGCAGAGGTAGAAGAGGTTTGGAGAAGTCCTTACCACCAAGACAGCATGAGGTCTTTGTGTAAATGCGGCCTAATGCAATACCCTTGCAGACACTGTACAATTTTTTTGGGGGGGTTGGTCTTGGAATGTTGTATGTGGCACCCTTTCCGTATTGTGAAAATGCCCTTTAAAGCACTCTTTTGCACTTTACTTGCTTACCTTGCAGGAACTCTGCTTATAGCAAGAATAAAATAATACAAAGCACTAAGCTGCAAACTCTACCAAATGGAACAGGGGCATATGTGGGTGTGCTGCATAGATGCTTCCCCAAAGGAGTTAAATCATAGTAATATGGGGAGGGGGTTCCAAAATAGCCCTTGAGTTGGGAGTGGGAACATATTTAATATAATCCATTCCCTGAGCACAGGTGGGGCCAAGACCCTGATGAATGAAATCAAAGGAGAACCCTCTGTAGAGGTTGATCCATCAGATATGTGGGTAAAATGTTTGGCAAACTATAAAGTACTCTCTCCACAGGAGAAGATAGGGGGGAATAAGAAGTGAGACTCTTCGTTGTGCATAAGCTAAGATTCGGGAGAGGCCAGTTGTTTTGAAGTTGCTTGAATGTTACCTTATTTTTAGACTGGGTCAAATAGCATGTAGAATTCATGTGATAAGGGAAAACTGCTCCATATTGGACACACACATTGGTATAGCCCTCCCCTCATATCCTGCATTTCCAACCCCCACCGTAAACTGGGAATAAACATTCTGATTTTGGACATGGAATGAGAGTATCTTCAGTGGGCAGTGTCCTTTGCTTCACCTGGTCATTGGGTACTGAATTTTCTTTCCATAACACATCTAGAGGTTTATTGGTGAGGGCCAACAGGCAATTTTAAGAGGTGACAGCACAATCCCCCAATTCCCACCAACAGTGATCCGAGAAATTCATCTTTTGGGGGAGGATCACAAAATGGAGGAGGTGGAGAATGCCCCTGGCCTACAATTGAGATGTCTGGGACTTAGTCTGTGCTCAGCCAGTCACGGTACTTAGATCTCTGTCACCTCATCTGCAAATTGAAGGACTTGAGCACAGATCGTTGTCAAGGTCCTTTTTAGTTCTATAGTTCTCTGACAAAAATATTTCCTGGTTAATTAAATTTATTAAGAAAGTTATTAGTTGAATTTGTGAATACTAATGGTCCTACTCATTTTAGGTTAAGATGAACTCTTGGTCTCCTGTCCTTCTGAGTGATTGATGGAAACCGTGTGCATCTGGAGACTGGACTACTCCAGATTAGGATCATATCCTGTGTAGGCTCACTCTGTCCTCCCTTACAGCTTTTTAGCATGCTGTCACCAGGAGGCCTCATGCTAAACGGGCATTTTTTGCATGGTATTAAGACTATTTAAACAATTTTAAGTGATTGCTATTTGCAGACTGTTGTACTAAAGGCTCTCTGTGATTACTTCATGAGTTCATGTATTACAGGCATCGGACACCTCTACCATTCTCTGTCTCTCTCCGTCTCTCACACACACACACACACACACATGCACACAGGAAATGGTTGCTGTGAGTTCTATGGGGACCATTGCATGCTGAAGTCCTAGTTGTGTTAGCAAACCGCCTTCTTGCCTCCCTGGGAAATATCATATTCCTGACTGATCTGATACTGCTCTTCTGTTTGGATGCTTGGTTTGAGGGGATTAATGAGAACGTGACCATAGTTTGGGCGGGGCAGGTGTTTAGCCAGTGGATTCCTTGAGAACGTGGACCATCCAATGGGTGCTGTGGTTTCCTAACCATGGGGAAGGCATAGGCAAAGACAGAAACACCCCTGCAGGCGCTCTCTGAAAAAAAAAAAAAAAGAAGAAAAAAGCCAGGATGCATTCCACAGCTCTACTTCCTGCGTTCCGTTGGTGTTCCAGGTGGGGGTTATTCTTTCTCACGGTCATGATGCGACTCTGTGCATGAGCGGAGCAAGCTCTTGGTGGTATCGTGTAAGAGCTAGTTAGTAATGGGCTTAAGAAAGAAAAACAGCAGCTCTGTGAAACGAAGGTCACTTTAATTTGGCGTAGTGAATGCTGTTTATTCTGCGTACGGAGACTTTGGACCAGCGTGCTACTAGCAGGGCTGTACGCAAAGTCCTGCACTCCGTCCTTGCACGTCAAACCAGCTGCATTGTACTTCACCAATCTGTTCGTACTCCAGGTCAATCTCTGTCCTCCTGCGGCGGTCTGTAAGTCAAGTGACATCGGCACAGTGGCACTGAGAAGTACGAGGTGTCTCTGATTTTACCGAAAGCGATTATTTTCACAGGTGCCTAAGAGATTTGCAATCTACTTTTTGTTCTCGGTTCTTACGTGAAAAATCTCCGAGTTCTCTGTGTGTTTTTAAAAATTCCTCCAGAGGACTCCTGCTCCATCGAGACAGCAAGCCTGTGCTGCAGAGGTTAGCTGCAGACTCTCTCCTTCGCCGGCAGGGCGCTGAGCTTAGAGGGTGACGGTGCAGTGGTGCCCAGAAACGATATGCAAACCCATTCACATGCCAGCCTCTGGCCTCTTTCCCGTCCCAGAGTCACAGGCAGGGGACTACGACCATAAACCCGTGTGTGGAGGTGTTTTACCTATTTCTCTCTCTGTAGGATTTCATGGTGCTTTAAAAAAAAAAAAAAAAGGCATTTTACAGAAAATAATGGGGGGGCGGGGATTTCATAATGTTCTTAGGAAGAGTACAAAAGCAAATTTGCGTGTAACATTTCAATAAGCTGTGCTGCTATTGTCTTTATTCGATGATGTAATGTTTTGTTTTGTTTTTCCTCAATGATGGAGAAAATTGCAACAAAGACCTTCTGGAAGATACAATCCAATGGCTCTCCTGTTTTCCTTTCTTTTGTGGGGCCAAGTGTGGTTCGTAGTGGCTGGGTTGGGAGCTTTGCTCAGGACCACACATCTGCTGGGGACAGGGTCCTTCC